CTGGCTCTATGCTCAGGGATCACTCCTGGCAATGCTCAGGGGACCATGTGGGTGCCAGGGACTGAACTGGGGCTGCCAGAGACTAAACCCAAGCAAAACAAGTGCCTTATCCTTATACTATCTCTCCGGCCTATAAGCTTTCCTTTGTATTGCTTTGATGTTCTTGTTTTATTTTATTTTTGTTTGTCTTAGGGCTACACCTAGCAATGCTCAGTGAGTGGTTCCTCCCAGCTCTGCACTCAGGAATTACTCCTGGTGGTGCTTGGGGGACCATATGAGATTCCAGGGATTGAACCAGAGTTGCTGTGTGCAAGGCAAGTGCCTGACCCACTATTCTATTGCTCTAGTCCCTGCTTTCATATTCTTTTATTTGCTATAGCACAGGCCATACCTTGTGGTGTTCAGTGGCCATATGATGTCTGGGATCAAGCCCAGAGCTTCACATATGCATGCCTCTACCATGTAAGGCACATTCTGGCTTCCACTTTGATATTCTTAACTTAGATCTTTTTTTTCCCCCAAATGACTCAGAAATTGACATTAACCAGCTAACTCACTTAAACTTTTATTGAGTCTTTTATGAGAAACAAAATGATTGGGCCAGGAATCTTTTTGCTCATTTTCGGGGGCCACAACTGGAGGTACCCAGGGGCTACTTCCGGATGGTTCTGTGAGAGTCCAGGTAACCAGATGTGGTACCAGGAATCAAACTAGCATAGGAAGCAGACAAGGCACACTCCTTAATCCTTCGTCAGCTGGTCCCTGGGTAAGGAATCTTGACCTTAACAAACTCATAGTTTGTGCTTTCTGTGGATGGCTGAAATTGTTCAGACCAAGAAAAGATTCTTTTTTTCCTCTTCGTTATACCTAAGAATTCTAGTACACCAAGATTTTTTTTTTAAACCATGGAACACATTTCACAGATATAGCTAACACAGAATTATATTAACAAGTTTAGTCAACAAAATGAATCTTGCTTGCCACTTCATGGGTGTGTTAGATGCGATATTAAATGGTAAACTCGCTCTCCCCAAAGGTCTGTAGCCTCACTTAGGACGGTTTCAGGTTTCCTTGTCTGGCACCACAGCCCAACCTCATAAAACACTTTACTTTGGCTCTTCACAAGCACTTGAGCACTTTTCATCGCAAAGCTTTACTTTGGCAATAATCTCCTACCCGACCATTCCCCCACACCTAAAATGTCTACAGAATAACACTGATTTCATTCTGCCATTTCTTTTTCTCTAAACACCCACTTTCTGAGACGGAGAAATAGTACAGCAATAGGGTGTTTGCTTTGCACGTGGCTGATCAGGGTTTGATCTCCACATGGTAGAGGGATCCCAGAGTTCGGAGTGATCCCTGAGCACAGAGACAAGAGTAAACCCTGAGCATACCCGAGTGAGCCCTCGCCCTGCAGAAAACCAAAAAACCAAACCAAACAATCAAAAAACAGTACCCCAAATAAATAAAAGTACTAATTTAAAAAGAAAAAGAAAAACCCACTTCCTTGGGCTGGAAAGAGTTCAGGAGGGAAGGCAATTACCTTGCAAGTGGTTGTTGGCCACAACCCTGGTTTGAATCCCCAGCACCACATATGTTCCCCTGAGCACCACCAGGGGCACTCCTGAGCACTGTCAGGAATAGCTCTTGAGCACCAAGTGTTGTGGAGGTCCCCAAATAAACGCAAATGAAATAAAGAAAATCCCACTTTCTGCGAATACCTGTGACTAGAAACTCTCTTGATAGTCTGCCTCCAATACTCGATCAACTCCACTTCTTGTGCCCCAAATAGTATCTTCAATGTTACTTAGGCATCATGACTGATGATACTGTTAATAGTAGAGTGTCAGGCATACAATCATCCAACACATGGGGCTTGAGAAATAGTACCGTGGTTAAGGCACATGTAGCCTCACATGTAGCTGACTTGGGTTCGATCCCCCGCATCCCGTAGGGCCCCCGGAGTCCTTCATGACTGATTCCTGAGAGCAAAGCCAAGAGGAACCCGTGAGCATCACCGGGTTTGGCCCAAAAACAAAAAAAAAAACAAATTGTCCAACACCATGGTGGCCACCAGTGTCAGCATCACTGTACCAATATTTCATGGTCCTTTTCCATCCCCCTCACCACAACCCCCTGGCAAACTCATTTAAAATTTTTTAATTATTATTACAGTTTGGGTCACTTGCTTTGCAAAGCGCTGTCACCTCAGTGTTAATGCGTATGATTTTGATGGACGGTTATCTCACCTCTCTACCACCTGTGTCTATCTCAACCAATGTCCCTATGTCACCTGCGGTCCAACTCCTCATCCCCCCTTACATCTTCCCCCACCCCCCATGGCATTCTCATTTCTATTATCCAGAGCCAAGGTTTGCCATCACTCAGTACCTGCCACTCTCTATCTTTTTTCCCATTCTCTATCTTGCCCAGAAAGTATCTGAGCTTTCTTCTTGAAAAGTCTTTGATCCTGCAAGTATACCTGCAGGTATAAAACTTTTATTTCCACTTCCATCTTCCAATTTCAAGTTCAGCTTCAATTTACCTCTTTCCTACTGAGCCCTCTACAATTGGTATTTCCCCCTTCCATTTTCCGGGATTAGTGACTATTTTCAATCTAGTTCCTTAGGACTGAATCCCATTACGACTTAGATTGATACCTAATAGAGTTCTCTCTGCAACTTCTCTTTCCAATTTGATTGTAAAGGATCACAGTTGTTATACATACGTGTGTGTGTGTGTGTGTGTGTGTGTGTGTGTGTTTGGTGCTTCATTCACTTAAGAAATGGCTGTCCTACAACCTAGATTCAAAACATTTGTTAATCCATAGTATAACAATACTATTTTTTTATGTGTTGCCACAAAAAGAAAGAGAGAAAGAAAGAAAGAGTGGAATAAATGGTTATTGATCCCAAAAAACATTTTTTTTTCACAGCTGGTGCCTATCTTAAGTTCTGTGTATACCCATCTCAGTGCTCTTCAAACTTCCTGATCATAACTGATAAGAAATCAGTTTATATGGTGACTGTGTGTGCGTGTGTGTGTGTGTGTTCACAAAGCAATAAATGCTATCTATCCTGTACAATATGTTTTGGTGTTTTCTATTATATTTCTCAAAACACCAGTCATGACACACTAAATTGATCACCACCACAATACAAAATACTCTATGCTACCTATATGAAGTATATAATAATATACCTCATATGAGGAATATCTGAGATATATAATGGTGCTTTAGGAAAATGCTTACAGCACCCCCCCCCCAAAAAAAAAACCCAGTGCCTAGACAGCATGTTCTGCTCCTGAAAGTTTGAGCTACAATTATGAGCTCTGCAGTTATCCTGAAATCAATTCCTAGCACCTTCCACCCTAGCATTAAGAAACAATCCTTCCTCGCACTTTTAGCTTTTGAAATTTGGGACACAGTCAAATAATAATGCACCCAAAATCCTTCAAAATTCTATTTCTAATGTAGACTTGACAAATCTTGGGGAATATAAATAAAGTGTCCATGACTAATTTTATTTCGCTCACTTGCAAGATGACTAAAAATAGAGTTGGTCATATTTTTTGCTTTTTACTTTCTCATGAGCATGTGTTTTGTTGCCTGATCCCTCAGAATCTGAATCTCAGCTTAGCCAAGTTAGTCACAGGTAACGTTGCCTTTGAAAAACTGATGAAGGTTAAATGAGATTATGCAGGCAAAGCCTTAATATAAGGCCGAGGATACTTTGTGAATGGTAACAGTATTTTAACACCAAAGTAAATAGTGCCAATTTTCTTTTGGGATCATAAAGCAAGGTATAGTTATAACAACAAAAGGAGGATTAATTACCTTTTCAGTATCTAGCAACATATTGTCAGTGGATTATTCAGAATATAAAATTTTATTGCTAGTTTCACAGAATATAAATATCCCTGAGTCAATAATCTGTGAGGCTAGACAACTATTATATAATATGGACTATTGCAACTGATTATATATATGTACATATATATATATGCCACTATCAGATTTGTTTTTTGCTTTTTTAAAAGAACCACCTCCATGTTGAATGACAATGTTTTGACTTTGGAAAAACACTTCACACAAGACACATACACAACTCTCAAAGATGTGGAAGGGGATGCATCTAACAAGAGTGTGAAGTGTGTTATAGGCTAAAAAAATATTTCATACAGTCCATACATGCAATACTCAAAGATACAGGGATTGGATTTGGGTGAGACCCCACGTTCAAAGTCTCCCTTCCTTCTCTTCTCTGTTTATCCACACCCTTATCTAACCCAGGGTGTTTTCTGATTGCAGGAGTTTGGCAGTCAACAGCGACCTTGCACAGCAAGGATCTTTCCACCTCACGTGCTCCATTGAGCACGGCCAGACAGAACATCGCATGCATCCTCCAGGAGACACGGGTCCAGGCGGAACCAAGTACAATGATGTGCGAATATTCGAAATTCATGAAGCCAGCTTCGTCTTCAGCATTCAGCTCCCGAAGAAGGGGGGGGCGGGGAGGAGATCCAGATTCCCTCGAGAGCCCCATCCCAGTCGCTGGCTTAAAGGGGACTGCGTGATGCCTTCAACAGCGTAATCTGGAAGCAACATTGGAGACCTCCGGGGATCACCCTTCGGCCGACCCCACTCCAGAAGGGTGCAGGTTCGTGCTGGAGGGCCCGGGCTCGAAACAGACCTGCAACAGGAGGCCGTAAGCGAGCGGCCGGCCTGGAGCCGCTGGAGACAGACGGACGGACGGACGGACAGACGGACAGACAGACGGACAGGCAGGCCGACACGCAGGTGCACTTCCAGCCCGGGTGGGAGCTCGACGCTGCGCGCGCTGCGCAGCCCGAGCCCCGCCCCCGGGCCCACCCCGGGCCCCCCGGGTCCACGCAAGCCCCTTTCGTCACGTCCGGGGGCGGGCGCGGGTGGGGCCGGGGGGCCGGGCCGGGCCGGGCCGGGCCGGGCGGGGGGCGGGGCTGTGTTGGCGCTCCGGGTGACAACGGTCCGGAATGAAGGAGGCTGCGGCGCGGCGGCCGGTCGAGCTGCGCCGGGCGAGGGCGGCGCCGGGGCCGCGCCTGTAGGACTCGGGGCCGGCGCGGCGCGATGGGGCCCGGGCGCGGGGACTGAGCGGCGGCGGCGGCGGCGGCGGCGGCGGCGAGCGGCGCTCGAGCTCGGAGGGGCTCCGCGGCGTCCCCCCCCTCTGGCCCGGCGGCCTCCACCCGCAGCCCCTCGGCGCCCCGCGGGACCGGGACGGCACCGGCGGGGGCATGTGGCGCTGGGTCCGGCAGCAGCTGGTAAGTGCCTGCGAACCCTCCCGCGGCCCCGGGACGCCGCTCGGGCCGCCGGGGACACTAGGGCGGGCGGCGCGGAGCCCGCGAGGCCGGGCCGCGGGCGCGCCGGGCTAGGCCGCGGCCGAGGCTGGCGCGCGGGGCCCGGAGCCGGCGCCGCCCCGCAGCCCCCCGAGGCTTCCCCGACCGCGCCGGCCCCGCGCACTTCGCTTCAGCCCCCCGCGCTTCCCCGACGCGCCCCGAAGATGCGCCCCGCGCCTCCCCTGAGCGCCCCGCGGCCCCCGATGCGCCCCTATGATGCGCTCCGCGCTTCCTCGCGGCTCCCCGCAGCGCCCTGATGCGCCCCGCGCTTCCCCGCAGCGCCCCGACGCGCCCCGCGCCTCCCGATGCGCCCCGCGCCCCTCCGCAGCTCCCCGCAGCGCCCCGACGCGCCCCGCACTTCCCCGACGCGCCCCGATGATGAGCCCCGCGCTTCCCCGCAGCAGCGCCCCGCGCCCGCTTCCCACCCGCGCCCTGCCCTGCCCTGCCCGGCCGCGCTCAGCTCCCTCCCCTCGGTCGGCGCCCGCAGCCCCGGGTGCGGGAGAGCGCGGGCACCCGGCGCGGGTGCGTTTCGGGGACAGGACCCGAGGCGCGGGGGCGGCCCGGGACGCGGCGCAGGGGCGCGGGTTGGCTCGAGGATGTCACGATCCCGCGCGGCGTGGGTGGGCCGCGGGGAGGGCAGGCGCGGGGACGGAGCCCCCCACGCGCCGAGGGCCGGCCAGGCGGCCCCGGGTCCCGGGACCTGCGGGGAGACGCGTGCGGGAGGCGCCGAGGACTGCCCGGCCCCGGCCCTCTCCAGCCTGCCCCGCGGGAAACTTTCGCCGCGAGAACCTGAACGTTTCCACCCCACCCCCCACCCCCCGCGCACTGCCCTAGGCAGGGGGAGAGAGAAAAGGGTTGGCAGCCCCGGGTTAACTTTTCAAGTCTTTCTGGCACGTTTAAAGGGAAAAAACAAAACCAAAAACAACTTCAGGGTGACTTCTAGAGGCAAGTCCAACGCGCCACGTTTCTCAGAATTATTTCAGAGGTAGAGATTTCAAGAAAAAAAAAAAGAATTTCTTTTTTCAATGTCTTATCTGCCTGCTGCCAACCACAACCCAGAAAATACAAAACGAAGGTAACAATTAGGGCAGAAATTACACCTTGCCCAAGAAGCCTTAAAAACCTCTCTCTGATGAGGCCGCTGGCGCCCTGGCTGAACCGTGTTTGCTGAAATGCAAAATCTCTAATTCGGGCGTCTCTTTTTTTTTTTTTTTAAACTCATCCTAAAAAAGACGGTGTTAAATCTTAGGCAAGCAAATAATAATAATAATAATAATAATTTTTTAAAGTCATTTTACGGGACTCCAGCATAGATCCCTCTCTTTTCCTTGCCTCTTGGAAGCGCAGTTGAATATTGGGACGAGGACATTTGGGGTTTTCCGAGCCCTCAGTGAACGCAGAATACAGACGAACGTTTCAGTTCATTCATTTTGCAGTGAGCAAAAAAGATCTTCGAAATAAAGCTGGAGCTCCCTGCCACTCCCAACACAAGTGTTGTCTCTATTTTTAGCCAGCTGTAACTTCAGATAGGCCAGCTCTATGCCTGGTTAAGAAACCTGGCTAATGATGGCACTGTAATAGTACCATTTGTTGTAATACTTCGGCTTTGTTGCATTACTTACGGGGTGGCATAGTAACTTGACTCTGGTAGTTAATTATTACAGGTCTGATCTCATGCTTTTGGTTTGCCAGTCTTCCAGTAAGGCTTATTTATGGCCTCTTGTTTCTGTGCGCAAGGAAGTGGTGGTTCTCTTCAACATAAACTGCTCCCAGTAGGAGATGCAGACACCACTTTCTCGGGGTTTAGGCTATTTGATGTCCTGAATAACCTGGTGGCAGGGTCACTCTCATCTTCAAGACAATCCCGTATTATTTGGAGTTTCCTCTAAGTAACTTCAGGTGATGAGTCCAAGAAAAAGGAAGGGCGTGAAGTTGTGTGGTTAACCAGTTGAACAAGTAGCGATGCATAAAAAAATGATGTCCCTGCCCTGGTGCTGCTCACCTCACTGGTTTTACTTTTAAGTTATCAGATCTTCTGAGTATGTAATCAGACCTGTGCCGATGTAGGACTTTGTAGCTCTGATTCACTTTGTACAGTCACTGAAATTATCCGGAAAGGATAATGATACACAGAGTAATGAAAGTATATTTTACTATATCAAGCACAAGTTCAAAGTCTACATTTCATATCCATTTGCTCAATGAAGTGTTACTGTGCTTTAGTGCTTAAATTTATTTCTTCTCTTTATTTGGGTGGTGGTGGGGTGTGGTTGGTGGGGTTTGGTGGGGTCCACGCGCAGTGCTGGGGACTGAACCGGGTGTGACTTGCACACACAGTCTTAACTCCTGTTCTAGCTCTCTGGCCTACTAGAACCACTTAAAAAAAATCCAGGTATTTGGGACAAATTTAGGAAAATGAAATCACAGGGACAAGGTTTATTTTTGTTCCAGAAATGCCTTATTATATGAATTGTATTTTCAACAACCTGTGTTGCTGAAAATAAAAAAGAGCATTTCACTGCAAAAACAGCTATTATGCTCTAGTAATTTCTCAAAAAATAGTTGACTCCTTATTTCCAGAAACTATTTTCAATACTTGAGAAAAATCAGGAGGTTGTCAGAAGGTTGATGATTTTCCTTAAGAGAGATAAAGTAAAAAGAAGGAATTGGAATACCCCTTTCTCTTTTATTTCTCTTATTATTTTCATTTCCAGTTCACAATGCTGAAGTAATTTTACACAACATTTTCTTATGACATCTTGTACAGTTAGAATTAGCCATAGTCGACTTTCTAGCGGTATTATTTATGTTAACTAGTGATAAAGTACCTTGATTAAAAGAGTAAAATTATTAGGTATTCACTATCCTAATATTTAGATTTATACGGTAGCCATTAATCACTGTGATTAAAGTTAATGTAATTGGTTACCATACTAGACAGTTAAGAGTAGAACATTTCACTATCACAGAAAATTGTATCGGACTGCAGTAGTAAGATTTTCAGTCTGGCCTGTAGAGTTGACATGCAGTATTTCTCTACAGGGCAATGTAATGTTCCTTTTTTTTTTTTTTTTAAACACACCCTCTCTGCAGACGTTAGAATCAGGTCCGTGAGTGCGCTCAATCTTCCTCTCACACAGTTTTTGACGCAGAGTAGATATCTAGTCCAGGTCTGCTGAATATATGATGGATAACTGAGGGAAGAAAGAATCCACTCTATTGTTTTTGTGTTTACAGATAAAATACCCCATTTCAGTACTGATCGTCCCAGGAAAAAGCTAGGAAATCATTTTACAAAAATAATAGCTTATTTATTGTCACGCTGTTGCAGAATTTCAACCTGCAGTGTGCAGTATAACAGGGTGGGGGAGGGAGGGAGGTGGGGATCAAACGCTCCCTCTGACTTGGCTTTAGAAACAGGATTTATTTCACCCGGTGGCCCAGACTGGACCCAGCCTGAGCTGGGAATCTTTAGGTCTGGACCCTGAATAAAGACAAAGCAGAGAGTTTGTACTCTATTAGTCCCACATTCAGGAGCCAATGCGCCTTCTGAAATGCTTACGAAGTTAAAAGGGGTGGAGGAGGGCATGAGACTAAGACTAGGAATGGTTCAGGGAAGACCAGAAAAGGAGCTCCATGGGAAAGAGAAGGAAGGACTGTCTAGCTAGCTGATGGAAACAACTGGAGGGCACCCTGGGTAACAGGCCACCCGCTGCTTCCTCATTACTGAGCTCAGTACTGTCTGAGCATGGCCACAGTACAAGGACAGTCTTATTTTTCCCTTTTTCTTTGATTTTTGGTTGGTGCGCAGGGCTGACTCCTGACTTCACTCAGAGATCATTCCTGGTGGGTTCTGGGACCATCTGTGGTGCCCTGGATGGAACCCGGTTCAGCCACCTGTGAGGCAAATGCCTGATGTGCCATAACTCTCTCTCAGCCCCAGGCTATTTCTTGTTCCATAAATGTGGTTCCTGCAAGTTTGTATTGGGGAGGGGGCAGGGGGAGGAACTCAACAGGAGATGGAGGGAGATCGCACATTGTGGTGGTGGTGGTGGACAGAGTGTGACAATTTGTTTTTGAAGAGGTGTGAAAAGGAACACCTAAAACATGCAGTGTTGTAAGTCAATGTTACTTCTATAATGAAATGCAAATTTTGAAGTTAAAAGAGTGTAAAATATCTCAATTTTTAAAATTTTGTTTTGTTTGGGGGGATGGGCGCATCTAGCAGTGCTCAGGGCTTACTCCTGGCTGTGTGCTCAGGGATCACTCTTGGCAGAGCTGGGGCACCATGTGGGGCACTTCAGACTGAACCCAGATCAGCTGTGTGCAAGGCAAGCACCCTACTTACTGTATACTATTTCTTCAGCCCCCCATCTCTCTCTCTCTCTCTCTCTCTCTCTCTCTCTCTCTCTCTCTCTCTCTGTCTCTTTCTCTCTCTCTCGTTCCCGGGTTTTTGGGTCTCACCTAGTGGTGCCCAGAGATTACTACTGACTCTGCATTCAGGAATTACTTCTAGCACTGTAATACTTCAGGGGATTATAAGGGAGGCTGGGGATCAAACCCAGGTCTGCGGCATCCCAGGCAAATGCCCTCCCTCCTGGACTATTGCTCTGGCCCCAATGTCTCATTTTTATAGTTGAAACAATATTTTGGGAAGATTGGGTAAAGTAAAATGTCATCATTTAACCTATTTAAGAAATTGGGGCGGAGGGAGGATGACTCCCAGGTGGTGCTCAGGAAACTGGGATGAGATCTGGTAGTTGGCCTTCCTGTGATTTTAGCCCGTCCAAGTTCAGTAGCAAGAGCTGGAGATGCAGTGGGCACTGCTCAGCTCCCGTGGAGTTGAGGATTAGCCAGGTCACCCAGGGGGCAGGGGCTGCACCTGGTGATGCTTGGGGAACCACATAGAATTGGCTGGTAAAATG